CAATGAGTTAAGGCCTGTCAGCCACACACTTTCTGGCTTTCAACAGAAGGTATCCATCTTCACTCTATTACACACCTGGGAAGTGAGGCCAGCAGAGCCTTCAGAAAGGAGTTGGGCTTAGGCGCAAGGACTCACTCTAGTGGGCCTAAGGTCTAAAGGAGCAGGCATCTCTGAGTGCATGGACACATATGTGAGAGTGTGCCTGTGTGTACACACGTGGTCAGTGTGATCTGGGAGAGGATGCATGTCTTGTGGAAGCAGAGCAGAGGTGCAGGATGAAGCAGCAGCCTCACAGCAGTAGGCAAGGCCTCCCTGAAGCCTCCTGCTCCAGGTGAAGGAGTTGGATGTTCTCCAAGCACCACCAGGAATCCTAGGAAGGTTGGGAGCGGTGGAAAACATCACACACTCTTTCTGCAAAGATCAGTCCTGGGGAGAGGAGAGGTGAGCCCAGATCCAGGAGACAAAGGAGGGAGACTCAGCTCAGAACCCAGGTGGGCACCTGTGCACTAGGATGAGCTGGGTAAGAGCCTCCTGTGACGCCTTTCACCTCTTCCTACTGTCTGTGATAACGGACTACAGCAGTGCTGGAGAAGGGCATGTTTAATGTTAAGTGTACCAGGTAAAGTGTGTGGTGATGTGCAGCCAGGCTTCGGCAGGTTCTCTTGCTGTCAGCCATCTGGCCCCATAACTCTGGTTGTAACTGGTAATCAATCAGTTCTCACCACCTGGTCCAATCTGCCAGTTCTGCTGTGTGTGTGGAGGGTGGGGGCCAAATATCCAAAATAAACCAAAGGATTGAAGTGAGGTGACATAGGGATGGTCCTGATGAAAACCCCCTCACAGACGGCTGACCTCATGGAGCTGCCCAGGTCCCAGTGTGCTGAGCCTACAGACCTGTGCCACCACGCCAGCGGCTCTTTGTTTTAATGAACAGTGATAAACTCCAGATGGATGTCCTGAGCTTCAGACCCTCAAGTTACAGCTGATTTGAGACAAGCTGAAGAGTGGATCTCAGTCTTTCAGGAGAGGGATGATTACGTAAAGAAAGGCCCATGGCAGACTCTCAGGAAGGGCTCATGGTGAAATAAACTTCCTGAAACCCAACAGAACTTTCCCAAACCTTCAGGTTCTGGAAACACAACAGCAACAGCTCAGGAAAAGGTATTCAAATCAAGGCCGACAGCCTGTTGCTCACAGAAACTGCAATAAAAGAACAATCTCATGGTATCTTTGAAAAGGAAATGCTCTTTTTACAAGCCAAGAGCTAAAAACAATACTTGGAAGAATTGTTTATAACAGATGGAGTGAGTCCAAAGCATGAAATAAATATATTAAAGAGCAGCTTCCCTTAAAGAAACAGATTCAATAAATAAAAGTATCGGTAGTGCAAAGAATGAAAAATTTACAAATGTAACATAGATTGACCAAATTACTGGAGCTGCTAGCATTGCAGTGGTCACTGATGAGCGGAGGGACAGCTGAGGGAGTGGGCTCCTCAGGGCAGCTCTGTCTCCCAGCCCAGCAGCAGAGGAAGGGAGTAGAAACACAAGTTTTCAAACTGTTTTTAAAGTGGGTGGAGTCAGAATCTGACATCCACACTGGCAGCAAAGTGGAAGTCCCGGGGTCACCGTGGTCACTACGATGATCCCCTTCCTGGGAACTGCCTTGGGGTTCCTGGAAGGTCCCAGGGGACAGAGACATACAGCCTTCTTGCATCCATTGTGTGCTGAGTGCTTGCAGCAACTACTTCAGGGGCAAAGTCCCTGTTTCCCTCTGGACTCCCTGTACCTCCCACCAGTCACACAGCAAGGAGATGAGGTTTGGCGTCCATTGCTCCTTCTCCTATGTTGCTCAGAGGCCCAAGGTTTTTAATTCTGATTTGTTTCTAGTGCTAGAATTGAACCCAGGACCTTGTGCTTGCTAGGCTTGACATGTTCTGATGAGCCATTCCTCAGCCCAAAGCCCTGAGCTTTACTGACCATACGACTGCCCATTTCAAGTCAGTGCTGCTGGCTGGGGGAGTCCTGAGAAAATGCCTTAATGTTAGAGCCTCCGTTTCTCTGCTCAGGTACAAAACTGTGATAAGAATGACGTGCTGGCAGAGCAGTAATCGGGTGATCAGAGCTTTTCAGAATGGGGCCTGGTACAGAGCCTGTGATCCGATGTTCACTTTGAACTTCTGGTCTGCAGAGAAAATAGGGGCAGCTGCTTGCTGGTGCGGCCCACTTTCTGTCCAGAGGAGGAGAGAAACGTCAGACACTGCATCATCACTGAGACGCCGTCGCCAATCCACCCCTGTTCCAAGCAGACTCTGTGAGAAGCTCAGAGACCTTGGCTCCCTTTCTCAAATTCAGTCTGTGGCATCGGAACTGATCCCCTCTGAGAGCTTCGGTTTGAAGGCTTAGAGCTGGGAAAGTTTATAAAAACCCAAGTGGTATTCAGATACAATGGAGTTATACCAGAGACACTCATCGTAAGGTGAAAATGCTGTAAAATTGAAAACGTGACCAGGGAGCCTGGCCTGCCTAACCCCAGGGCACAGCACTAGTCCTGGTTGTTTCCCACGACAATGTGGTGGTTAGAGCTGTGGCTCCCTGGTTCTGCCCAGCTTCCCAGCAGGGTCACACTGGGCTACAGCCACACAAAAGGCATTTTGGATCATTAAGAGTTGAAAACCAATGCCATTGCTTTTACCTGGAAGATTACCAGGAAACATACACAATGACAATGTTATTAAAAATAATCCTTAAAAAGCTTTTAATCCACTAATGATGAAAAAGTGGTATTTCCCAGGATAAGAAGAAAGGGGAATGTGTTTAATGGATCCAGCACCTCTTTGGGGGAAAACGAGAAAGGTTTTAAGGATGGATGGTGGAGATCAGTAGCAACAGCGTGAATATGTTGAATGGATTCGTACATTCGTCAAGTGACAATTTTTCTCCCATACATTTTATAATAGTGAAAAGGGAAGGAAAAGGCTAGTAAATTCCTTCTGAGTAATGCTGGTGGCCCACAGCCAGGAGTCCAAAGTGCTGGGAGGACCACGATGTTTGGGGGTGGGTGTGACTTCAACCAGAGTCTTTCTTCCCCAGGTCATCAGAAAGCTTCAAAAATCCTTAACAGGAAAACAGCTTACTCACTTTGGGGCTCCAGGACCTTTAATTATGTGTCTAGCACTGCCTGAAGACCTGTGGTCACTATAGTGGCCACACTCCAAGTGGCTGGACATGCAGAGCTGACACCTGACCTCTGTTTCTCCTTAAGAGCCAAAAGTGCTATCATCAAGATCTTTGGCATCACTGTTACTTACAAGGTGAAAAAGACAAGGTATTGGGTGACATCAGGCTCTAATGACCCACAGCCACGTTCAAGTCACTGAGTGCTGAGTGTGATGGGGATGGAGTCAGTTCTGGAGCCAAGGTCACAAGGCCTTGGGAGACGGAGAAAATTCGCCGCACACAGCCTGTCTGCATAGCTGCTCGACTCCACCCCCTGACACCTTTACTAACCAAGGGCACCTTGTACTGGCTGGATGTCACTTAAGCCTGCATTCCCTGGCTCCTTGGAGGTGAACCCATAAGCCAGGATGGCAAATGGATGACAGGAAGACACAAGCTACCACTGAATGCATGCTTAGAGTGCCATCCATGCACTCTGTACTTACCTGCGCTGGGTGCAGTATTTATGCTCCTGTATTAAAAACACTCCTGTCTGTTTTTAGAGACAGGGCTACTTGAGCCATCACTGTATAATTTTTTCATGGAAATATTTAGATAAAATTCATTTATGTTAACAATTGTGTGTGTGTGTGTGTGTGTGTGTGTGTGTGTGTGTGTGTGTGTGTTATAAAGCCAGAGGCTCTGGTGGGGTCCTGTCACCACTCAGACATGTACTCTTCTTGAACTGGAAACAGGGGAATATAGTGCGTGTCCCAAATGAGTGGTGGAGCCAGAGTGAGGGGTAAGTGTGGGTTAGGAGCTGTGCCTTACACAGGGCTCATTTTACAGTGTGGTGAGGGAGCGCCTTAGTGAAGGCCTTGCCCATTGCCCTGTCATATAGCTTTTGTCCTGGTGCCACCTAGTTCATCAGCTTTGGACAATGGAGATCTGGCAGATGTGGCCTCCTATAGGAGGAGGTTGAGGTTGGGCAAAGGGCACCTGGCATCCCTGCCTGCTTGAGAGGAAGGAACTCTCTGGATATGCAGCCAGATAAGAGGGCTGAGATGGAGACAGAGCTGAGTCTCCTTCTGTTTAGAACAGAGGAAGGGGAGCAGGAGGGGACAAGTGGCTGTGTGGCCAAGACTGGTGCCAGTTGGAATTTTTCCCCAGCTCCCAGGATCCTTCCCTGGCTTTCCCTCTCCTGCTTCTCCTTCCACTTATGGCAGTAGCTACTCAAACGGGGAAACAAAGCAAGGGGCTCCACAACTCAGGAAAGCTTTGATTCCAAATCAAAAGAAAGAAGTCTGAGAGTGTGGCCAACACTCCAGCTGCCTAGACCAGGGCTGCTCACCTACACACACACACACACACACACACACACACACACACACATTTATGATTAGTGGATCTGGTGTGGGGCTAGAGACTGAGCATTCTTAACCAGTTCCCTCTGATGTTGTTACCCAACAACCACACTCTGAGCCCTACACTGGTTCCTAAGGAACCAAGTTGTTGATGGAATTAACAGATGCATTGGCATCACATGGAAAATTGCCTGGGCTTTATAATGCTTTCCAGTGGCTGCCAGATCCCTGGTACTGAGACACGTAGCTCTTGGATCTTCTACTCCTCCTGCTCAGGCACGGGTTTTCTGGCTTCTTCACTCTCTCATGACTTTCATAGACTGTGTCCCAGCCTTTTTTCCTCTCAGTAGCATGGAGATGTTTCCTTGGTTCATCCAGCTACCAAAATTTCCACATTAGAGACCCCTGCCTGCAAGTTGTGAACGCTAGGTGTTTCTCCAGCACCCTGTGGGCTTTATTAGGGACCCTCTGGGTGTCAGGGCTGTCCTTCTCAAAGGGAACCTGCACTGTCTCACCCTACTTCCATCAGAGAGACCCCAAAATCCAGAGACTTAAAAATGTCTCTCAACACAGTACTAAGTCAGTTATCCCACACGTGTGTGCCAGTAACAACAGCATTTCCTTTTCTTTATTTTAAAGAGGCCAGGAAAGGGAAGTGCACAGCACTGAGGAAGTTCTGCTCAGTTGGTGGAAGCCAGCAGCGCGTCATCACAGTGAGCAAAGGTGCATCAGGGTGCAAAGCCAAGAAGAGAAATTAAAAGCTTAAAAGCTCACAGGAATTGACGGCTGTGGATGTTGCCATGTCTCTCTGTGCACAGCTGTGGCTTGGGACCAGCGTGGGGTTGCACAGAGAAAGGTGTTTGAGAGTCTTGTGCAGAACTGGCCTGTGCTGGGTGCATGGAAGACTCAAGTCCTCCCTCACTGCCAAGAGGAATGGGCCTGGGGGCTCAGCTCTGTCACACCTTGGGTCACCATCTGCTTGGATAGCAGGGCTCAGAATCTGGGACTGAGAAAGGAAGTGGATGGGGAGGAGACACAGCCAGCCATATTCATAGCCCTTTAGTGGACCTCTCAGCCCTCCTAGACCTGCACATCTGTAAGCTGGATGTCACCAGTTATTTCCAGGTAATTGATGGTTGACAGGTCTTTCAGGTGGTGGGCATAGTCCAGCAAGTGTTGGCATCCACAGTCACCCTGTAGCAATGGGTTTCACATATGATCTCCACCTGGGCAGAGAGACCTTGCATTCACACTCCGTGCAGAAAGTCCTCAGCCTCACAGCAGGCTCAGGGTCCCTCCTTCTGAACCTCATTTTTCTACCGATAGCAGCCCCTTGCCCACACTGAAGGATTTTTTCCTGTGTAAGCGCCCTGTGCTCTCTTCCCTGTACCTCAGGACATATGGTTCCCAGCCCACAGTGCTGCTCCAAGCCTGTATCTCTGCCCCACGTGTAACTTCCAGTCCCCTCTGGAAATCCTTCCCTGTCCCCATCTGACCCTCCCAGAGACCAACGGCTTCCCCAAGGAATCAGAAGTAGCAGTGCTGGCTTGTGCCATCTGTGTCTCCCATGTCCATGGCTGGACTTTGTAGCAGCAGCCATCTGACTCATCCTGTCCAGACCAGAACCTTCTCCAGGAGGCAGCCCGGGTGCAAACGGCAGCGGTCACACTTCCATCACACTTAAGTGCAGGGCACTGCCCTAGCACACACAGAGACTACCTCGGCCCATTCCCACAGATCTCTGAGATCACAGGATGCTTAACCCTATTTGTAGATGAGGAAATGTCCCTGGCTAAGGACACTTCTCCAAGGTCACACAGGTACCTATAATCAAAGATAATGCTCCTTACTTCTGTTCCCCCAGTGTCTTCTCACTGTAGTAAAATCCAAGCTCCCTTCACAGTCCACGAAACTCTGTACCAGTCATTTCCAACCCAGACTGCAGGGGGCGCTCATCTAGGGCATAACTTCTGCCTAAGGGGATGCCCAGTCTGAATGGCTGAGGGCAAGACTCAGGCATCATAGACCAATTATTTCTCTTCCATCCTTCCTTTCTTCCTTTATCTCTCTCTCTCTTTCCCTTTCTCATGGCCCTTTTCTTTCTCTCTTTTTTACTTCCTCCCTCCCTCCCTCTTATCTGCCTGCCTTCCTTCCTTCCTTCTTTCCTTCCTTCTTCCTGTCTTCCTTTCTTCTTTGTGGTACTATAAAATTAACCCAGGGCCTTTACACCAAGCTACGTTCCTTGTACTATTTTTACTTTTTCTTCTTTAGGCCAAGTCTCCCTAAGTCACTAAATGGCCCAGGCTGAGCTCAAATTTGGGATCCTCCTGCTCTGCCCTACCAGAGAGCTCCTGTTATAGGTACACATGCCACAGAGCCTGGCTCTTTTTCTTCTTGTTTTTGTGAGCTCTGTGTGGGACCTGAATGTGTAGTCAGGCTCTCCCTCCCTCCCTGCACCTTGGCCCCCTGGAAAGTGGAGGCTTCTCTAATCCACAACACCTGTCCCTTTCTGGGCTGAGGGCCCATGCCTTGGTCTCCTTGCTCGTCTCCATCTAGACTGCAGTCCCATGCTCTCTCTGCTTCCTAACTCCATTTGTGAACCTGTGCGTTTCCTCCACAAAGTGAGCCCAAACAGCTGGTAAATGACTGCTGAGTGACCATGCAAATCAATGACTAGCTTCTCACTTTTGAGTTTGATTTGGCACAAATGGGTATGTGACCTCTGGCAAGTAATGTTTTTCTTTGCTCACTTATTAAGAGCAATGTTCCTTGGGGGAGGGCAATAATCATAACATGATAATAATTTGTTACACATTTTTCTTCATTGAGACATAACCCTCCTGTCACAAGTATCAACCCCTGACCTGTTCAAGGTACCTCCAAGACCTCTTCCATCCCTTCTCCGCTTACACCCAGCACATTACCTTGAAGCTCTGTCCAGGGATGAAGGGCATGTCAGTAGGCAGGCTTCGCTCCTCTTTCCCCCAGGATCCCATGATCCGAGTGTTTCGCACCACAATTTTTTCATTGAATTGAGGGCTCATTAGAAAGGCAATGTTATCCCTAGCACACAGGCTGATATAGAACCTGGGGTGAGAAGATCACATGAACACTCTCAGTCACATAGCTGTGAGCCTGTCCCCTCTCCCTTATTTCCAGCAGCCAGTGAGCCTTGGAGGCCCTGTCTTACCTTGTAGCATTGGGCAGCACAGTGCCTGACACACCGATGACCTGGGATGGCTGCAGCCCACCTCGAATGGAGGTGAAGTAAGGAAGTGACTGTTGGGAGGATGGGGACAGGTCAGCCAGTGACAGCAGAGAGGCATCACTGCAGTGGGGAATCCTGTACCAATTATCATGGACTTGGATGTCAGCCAAGACTATAACCATTCCTGAGGAAGCCAGGACATGTTTACTTGGTTCATTAAACACCAAAGGAAACAACAAGGTGCTCTTAAAGCAGAGGGCCTTCATTGTGATGGGAGGGGCAGTGGTTGGATGCTAAAGCATTCTGGGGTGATAAGCAAAGGCCATATAATAAGCTTACATCCAAGGGATCATTTTAAAGTTAAAACCTCCTTTAAAATTATTCTAATCTTCATGATCATTTTTAAAATTTCAGCTTGATAAAGGACTCTTTTCAATTATGCAAGTCAGAGGGTCACCACCAGGTGCCACTTAATACCCACCTGCCACACCAAATGAAATCTCCAGCCACCCCCACACCACTTACATAAGTTTTGGGCTCAGGAGCCTGTTCGAAAGAGACGAAGAAATTTGATGTTGGGAGAGTTATAGGTGTACACATGTACACACACACACTCATTCTGTAGGGATGCTCCCGTAAGAATGAGGTTGAGAGGGTTCACTCCTTGGTTTCTCCTGGTAGCCTTGGCTGTCACAGCGATCTTTCTGGATCTTCCTGTTCTGTCCCTGGATCCCATCCCTTGCCTTTCAAAACTCCATGCTAGCAGTCAGATACTGAACCTAGAATGACAACCTTGCCATAGGTTGGAAACAGTCACACTCTGATCAGATCCCTGAAATCTATGAATGTGACTTTAACTGGAAAAAGGTCTGCAGATGTGATTAAATCCAGGGCAGGAGCCATGAGCCCCACACTGGGTCCAGGAGGGTCCTGTGTAATCAGAGCAGCCTTGTATGAAGGATAGAGTCAATGTGCCATCAAGTGTACCCTGTGTGGTATTTCAGATAGAGTACCCAGCAGGTGAGTGACCACTGAGCTAAGCCCCCAGCCCTAAAAAGCTGCTGGCCATGGAGACAGAGGAAGAAGCCAGTACAAGCAGTCCCCTCTAGAGGCTACAAAGGAAACAGAGATGTCTCTCCTTGAAGCCTTAGAATGGAAATTAACCGACAGTGCCTTTTATTTACTTTCTTTGTGGTGCATGGAGTCAAATCCACAATCTTTAGGCACTTATTCTTCTATTGAGCTAAATCTCAGCCTTTCAACATTGACTTTAGGCCTCTGAAGGAGAGCTATAAGACAAAATACTAGTTTAAATTGTTTTTCTTGGATGACCAAGACTGTCTTGGAATCTGGAGCTGTGAAGGTCTTAACACAGCTTAGTAGAAAACAAGGGTGGGTGGAGTTTCCAGCAAGTAGGCGGGCGCACACTATCCCCAGAGCCCAGCCTATTTGGGACTCCTGCACCTCACCATCTGGGTGCAGAGGAAGAGCTGGGCAGATGTGGGGTGCCTGCATCCGCCTCCCCGTATGTCTGGAGGACTGTGGATATCTCAGCAAGCAGGCAAACATCACAGGTTCTGGAGGCCCTGCGGTCTGCGGTAAGTGCTCAGTGCACTCTGCCCAAAGCCCAGACTGTTCGGGACCCTCCAGGCTTCCAGGTGCAGTGAAGTGGATAAGTGGGTTTGAGGCATCTATATCTGCCTCCCCATTCTGGCTGCACTTCTAGAACTGTGGAGTTTCCAGCAAGTAGGCGGACGCACACTATCCCCAGGGCCCAGCCTATTTGGGACTCCTGCACCGCACCATCTGGGTGCAGAGGAAGGGCTGGGTGCATCTGGGGCACCTGCATCTGCCTCCCCATGTGTCTGGAGGACTATGGATATTTCAGCAAGCAGGCGAGCATCACAGGTTCCAGAGGCCATGCAGCCTGCAGTAAGTACTCAGTGCACTCTGCCCCAAGCCCAAACTGTTCGGGACTCTCCAGGTTTTCAGGTGCAGGGAAGTACATAAGTGGGCTTGAGGCATCTAAATCCGCCTCCCCATTCTGGCTGCACTTGGAGAACTGTGGAGCTTCCAACAAGCAGGTGGTGGCACAGTGTCCCTGAAGCCCAGCTTATCTGGAACTACAGAGTTCTAAATAGTCAGAAGGGCCATTGGTTCTACAGGCCCAGTGGCTTGGGGTAACTGGGTGCCAGAGTCCCAGGAGCTGCAAACATAGAAGGGGATTTCCAACAGACCCTGAGGAAGCTTTCAAAAAACACTTGAAACACAGAAATATAGGAAAATGACAAAATGAAAGACCAAATTACAACCTCAAACCTCCAGCCCATCTCAAGAAACCGTAGGAGTGATGTATATAGAAGAAAATATATGCCATTCACCTCAAATATTGGGCATAATAACTACTGAAATTAACAAGCAACTCCAGGAAGCTTTAAAGAAATTCAAACTCTAAATAATCTCCCAGGTAAAAAAAGAAATGATAAAAGAAATGAAAGAGATTCTGAATATATCTAAAGAAAACACAGTTTAAAAAACTGGAGGAACTAAACAAAAAGATAGAATCCCTAGATGAGCAATATAAGAAACAAACAGAACACATAATACAGATGCACAGAGATGTACAGGAAATAAAAACTCCACTGAAAGTTGTAAAAACCACCTCAGTGAAAGTGAAGATAGAATTTCAGACCTTGAAGACAGGATTGAAGCTAGTGAACAGGAAAGGAAAGATCTTCTAAAAATAACAAAGAATCAGGAAACAACAATTCAACAACTGCAAGATGATGCAAAGAAAAATAACATAAGATTGTTAGGGATTAATAAAAAAGAAGGAGAAAACATAAAGGATGTCAAGAGGATATTTAGAGAAGTAATAGCTGAAAATTTCCCAAGCATGAGATCAGAAACCGACATCAGGATCAGTGAAGCATATAGAACTCCAAATAGTCATAATCAAAATAAAACTACACCCAGACATCTAATAATCACCATCCCAGAAATCCAACACAAGAATAGATTATTAAAAGCTGTCCGAGAGAAAAGACAGATCACTTATAAAGGAAAACCTATCAGAATCACAGCAGACTTCTCAGCACAAACAATAAAGTCAAGAAGAGCATGGAGTGAAGTATTCCAGATCCTAAAGCAAAATGATTTCCAACCTAGACAGATGTACCCTGCAAAACTATCATTCAAAATTGATGGTGAAATACGATACTTCCATGACAAAGAACAGCTGAAGAACTTCATGAACTCCAAGCCAACCCTGCAAAAAATATTGAAAGACAGTTTAGATACACAAAGGAAAAATCACTAAGCAAAACAGATAATTAAACAGAACAGAAAGATAAAGATGCAACAGCAGAGAGATAACATGTCAACAATAAACCAGCATTTTGTAAATGGTCTCAATGCACCAATCAAAACAAACAGACTGGCAGAATGGATCAAGAAACAAAATCCAACCATATGCTGTTTACAGGAAACCCATCTAACCCAGAAGGATACTCACAGACTGAAAGTCAAAGGATGGAAAACAATACTTCATGCAGCAGGAATCCAAAAAAAAGCAGGAGTAGGCGTTCTGTTTGCAGACAACGTGAACTTTAAACCAACAATGACCATAAAGGACAAAGAAGGTCACTACATACTCATTAGGGGAAAACTCCAAGAGGAAGAGATAACTATCTTAAATATATACGTACCAAACTCCAGAGCACCCAGTTATGTAAAACAACTATTAACAGAAATGAAAACTCAGATTATCAGTAACACAATTGTAACAGGAGACTTTAATATGCCATTGACACCAAGGGATAGATCAACCAGACAGAAAATGAGCAAAGAAATAACAGAACTGAATCACACCTGCAAACAAATGGATTTGATAGACATATACAGAATGTTCCACCCAACCACATCAGAATACACATTCTTCTCAGCAGTACATGGATCATTCTCTAAATAGACCCTATATTAGCTCACAGAACATATTTAAACAAATGCAAAAGAGTTGAAATCATCCCTTGCATGTTATCGGATCATAGCGTTCTGAAATTAGAAATTAATGATAAAAGATACTGCAAAAATCGCACAAACACATGGAAACTGAATAACACACTCTTGAGTAATCAGTGGGTCACAGAAGAAATTAAACAACACCTAAAAGAAAATGAAAATGCAGATAGAACTTACTGGAATCTGTGGGATACAATGAAAGCGGTCCCCAGAGGAAAATTCATTGCACTGAGTTCCCACATCAGGAAAACAGAACGAATACAAATAAATAACTTGATGCTACACCTCAAACAGCTAGAAAAAGAAGAGCAAGTCAAGCCCAAAGCCAAAAGAAGAGAGGAAATTCTAAAAATCAGAGCGAAATCAATGCAATAGAGACTAAGAAAACAATCCAAAGAATCAGCGAATCAAAGAGTTGGTTCTTTGAAAGAATAAATAAAATCAATAAGCTCCTAGCCAACCTTATTTTAAAAAGGGAAGAAAAAGTTCAAATTCATGCAATAAGAAGTGAAAAAGGTGAAATCACTACAGACTCTACAGAAATACAGAAGATCATCAACACCTATTTCAAAAACGTCTACTCTCAACAGACAGATTCTTTGAAACATATGAAGTACCAAAGCTAGATCAAGAGGATGTAAACCTGATGAATAACCCAATCTCTGTTAATGAAATTGAAAATATAATTAAGTCCTTACCTACAAAGAAGAGCCCAGGCCCTGATGGATTCACTGCAGAATTCTATGAGAAATACAAAGACCTAATGCTGACACTCCTCAAACTATTCAATGAAATTGAAAGGGAAGCAATCCTTCCTAAGCCATTCCTGGAAGCAAATATTACTCTAGTACCAAAACCTGAGAAAGACCCAACTAAAAAAGAGAACTATAGACCAATCTCCCTAATGAACACAGATGCAAAAATCCTCAATAAAATATTGGCAAATAGGATGCAGCAAATCATCAAGAAGATTATACACCATGACCAAGTGGGATTCATCCCAGGAATGCAAGGATGGTTCAACATACGTAAATCAATAAATGTAATCCACCATATCAATAAAGCCAAAAGTAAGAATCACATGATCATTTCTATAGATGCAGAAAAAGCCTTTGATAAGGTCCAACATTCATTCATGATAATAATTTTACAGAAAATTGGAATAGATGGTCTTTACCTCAATATAATAAAGGCCATTTATGACAAACCAACAGCCAGCATCATACTAAATGGCCAAAAATTGAAAGCTTTTACTTTAAAATCATGCACAAGACAAGGATGTCCTTTATCACCACTCCTTTTTAATATAGTACTAGAAGTACTAGCCAGAGCAATTAGGCAAGAGAAAGAAATAAAAGGGGTAAAGATAGGAAAAGAAGAAGTTAAATTATCATTGTTTGCAGATGACATGATACTCTACATAGAAGACCCCCTAAACTCCATTGAAAGACTCTTAGATACAACAAATAAATGCAGTAATATGACTGGATACAAAATCAATACTCAGAAATCAATAGCATTCCTATACACTAACAACAAAATCAAAGAGAGGGAAATAAGTGAAACCACACTCTTCACATTAGCAAGGAAGAAAATGAAATATTTAGGAATTACTCTTACAAAAGAAGTGAAAGACCTATACAGGGAAAATTATAATACATTGAAAAAAGAAATTGAAGATGATTTCAGAAAATGAAAAGACATCCCTTGCTCATGGATAGGAAGAACAAACATTGTGAAAATGGCCATTCTCCCAAAATTGTTATACAGATTCAATGCAATCCCAATAAAAATACCATCAACATACTTTATAGATCTAGAGAAATCACTCCTAAAATTCATCTGGAACCACAAGAGACCTAGAATAGCAAAGGCAATTCTAAGCAGCAAAGGCAAGGCAGGAGGCATCACAATCCCTGACTTGAAGTTATACTACAAAGCAACAGTAGTAAAATCAACATGGTACTGGAATCAAAACAGAGCCGAAGATCAATGGAATAGATTAGAAGATACAACCACAATTACAAACACACTCAACCACCTTATCTTTGAGAAAGGAGCCAAGCAGGTTCACTGGAAGAATGACAGTCTCTTTAATAAATGGTGCTGGAAAAAACTAGCTCTCCATTTTGCCGAAAATTAAAGCTAGACCCATTCCTATCACCATGTACTAAATTAAAATCTAAATGGGTCAAAGATCTGAATATTAAAACAGAAACACTAAATCTATTGGAAGACAAATTGGGTAGAAACCTTGAAGACATAGGGTAGGTAGAGAATTCATGAACAGGACTCAAACCACATGGGAAATACTTCCCAGAATCAGTAAGTGGGACCACTTCTTATTAAAAAGTTTCTGTATGTCAAAAGAAATCTCCAGCAAGTGAAAAGAAAACCCACAAACTGGGAAAAGATTTTTGTAAACTCTCTCTCAGACAACGGACTCTTGTCTAAAACATATAAAGAATTAAAAAAACTCAGACCCCCAAAATTCAAAGGTCCAATCCAAAAATGGGCATTTGAGATGAAGAAATACAAATGGCAAATAAATATATGAAAAAATGTTCATCATCATTGGTCATCAGAGAAATGCAAATTAAAACCACACTGAGATATCATCTCACTCCTGAAAGAATGGCCAGGATCAAGAAAACCAACAGCAACAAATGCTGGAGAGGCTGTGGGTAAAAAGTAACTCTCCTACACTGTTGGTGGGAGTGTAGACTGGTGCAACCTTTGTGGAGGTCAGTCTGGAGATTTCTCAAAAAGCTGGGATTGGAAGTCCCATTTATTCCAGCTATTCCACTTCTAGGCATATTCCCAGAAGAACTGAAAGTATCATACCACAGTGATATATGTGCGCCTATGTTTATAGCAGCACAATTTGTAATTGCCACATCTTGGAAACAACCCAAGTATCCATCAACTGAGGAATGGATAAAAAAGTTGTGGTATTTCTATATAATGGAGTATTACTCAGATATAAAGAAGAATCACATTGAGATATTTATCAATAAATGGGCGCAGCTTCAGACCATACTCATAAGTGAAATAAATCAACCTTGCATGTGTGAATCCCAAATAGTTTCCCTAATGTAAGTAATGATTCAAATATATAAAAGTATGTGGTAATCATGATTCCCCATTATGTGGCCTTGAAGCCTTATAAAGTTTTCACTTATTAATTGGAAAGGCTTTAATCTGGGATTCTTGATATGGAAATATTTGAAGCTATCATATATGAAGTTATATTCAAATATTCCAAGGAAAAAGACAGACACTATGGTAACTATTATTAAGTCGGGTTATTTGGTGGTGAAGCACTAGGTTGCTGAGACAGTCATGCTTTGACCTGTATTGTTATGTTGTTATGTCCTCTTTTATATTAATCTCTCCCTTATTCATTAAAAAAATTATTGAGTTATTTTTATGGTTTTTTTAATTAAGGGGAAAAATTAAAAAAATTAGCAAGATATATTATAGTAACTTTTTTTGATTTCCTATTAACTTGTTTTGAAGTCCTGTAATACTCCAACTATCTTGTTTTGACTGGTTAGACTCTGTTCCATTCTGTATGATAGTATCAAGTTTGAGGGTATAGGCAACTACTTTGAAGGCAATAAGATTCACTAAGATGCTCATTCTGGTTTGACTATTATCTCTTTTGGAAGTCCTGTAATGTTTACAATGTTTAAGTTTTATTGGTCTTGTTCTCTACTGTTTTGTTCAACTTTATAATACCTAATGAGATAGACAATTCTTTTTAAGGAAACAAGAGGTACTATGGTAAGCACTGTTGATAACCTTGTACTCTGTTTTTACATCATGTACTATGTCTATCCTTGGTTTTGACTGACAGCTTTGTTTTGCCATATTTGACTTTATTCTCTTCCAAAAAAAAGTAATAAAAACTAAGGAGTAATAAAACCCAAAATGTGTAAATTTTGTTGTAAAAAAGAGAGGGAAAAAAAGTGCTCTAAAGGATACAACTGCAAGTGTGTTTAGGGGTGTTAAATAGCTGACCATATTAATGTTTTTGGTTGGATCATTGTACACAACTGTTTGCAGTCTCTCTGTTTGAATGTTCACTTTGCATGCTTTGATCCTGTGACTTGGGCAACTATCTCTAAGTTGATAATGTGTAATCTATTAACTGGTGATTTCTTACTGTTTTTTTTTTTTTTTTAGCTCTGTATTACTTGTACCCTTACACCGCTTTGTTTTGTTTTGTTTTTCTTTTTTTCCTTTTAAATAAAATATTAAAAAAAGAAAAGAAAACAAGGGTGGCTCCCTTCATGAAAAACAATGGAGCTTTTCCTGGCCCCAATAGGTTGGCTCCCAGGTCAGCTCTCTGTGCCAGCAGGTGTGATGTTGGACAAGTCACCTTACCATGTGTGTTTGGACTCCCTTTCACTTGGTGCCACATTGAGACCACCCCTTGTGCTTGTGAGCAAGTCTCTGGCTGGAGTGACCAGGAAAGGCAATATAATAATTAGCTCATACTCACGGGATCACTTTAAAGTTAATGGCCTCTTTCAAAATTATTCTAGTTTTCAGGAGTATTTTTTAAAATTTCAGCTTAGTAAAGGACCCTTTTCAATGATAAAGATCACAGGATCACTGCTTGCTGCCAGTAACCACTCACCATGCCACAGCAAATGAAATCTTCGGCCATGCACCACTTACAGTAGTGTTCTGTCTGGGTGTTAGTTTTGTTGTCAGTTCCTGTGGAAAACAGACCAAGAAATTTAATGTGGGAGTGTTACTGGCACACACCCTCACACCCATGCGCGCACACACACACACACACACACCTTCTGCAGGGGGCACTCTGATATGCATGAAGTTGAGAGTTTAGTACGGGGTTCTCCTGGTAACTTTAGCTGTCACAGCAATCTTTCTGGAACTTCCTGCTGTGTCCCTGGATTGCTTCATCTGCTTCTCACAATGCCATGCTGCAAGGAAGGCACTGAAGCCACAGTGACACGCTTATCCCAGTCCCCCAGGGTCTGGCTGATGTGTGGACTCAGTTAGGCAGGTGTTTGCCTTAACACAAATCAACACCTCAGAGGCATCCAAACCTGTTTCCTGTTCCGGGTTGAGCCTCAAGGCACGTTTTTCTCCTCTTCCTAGCTGGAGCTCCCCAAAGCAGAGCTCACTGCTACAGCCAAAGTGTAGCATCCTCTTTCTGCCGGCCCAGTGGCACTCGAGGGCACCTAGTCCTGACACTGGCAGTGGAAACCTTAGCCTGGTGGGATGCAGCTGCCCACAGTGCACAGTTCTCAGCTAAAGGGCCCTTCTGGTCACCCACAATTGGTGCCTGCGTTGTCTTCTTTGCCACTGTCACTGCTACTTTTATACAGGAGGCGATTTAAGCACAAAGAGGCTTACAAGGTGCGCAAACTCCATAGCCGCTCAGTGAGAGAGCTGAAATCAGAACCCCAGAGCTCATGCTTTCAACCCCCACCCAGGCTACCTCTTTATACAGCACAGAACATTCTTATTCTTGTCCTCCCAGGGACTCCCCACGCCACCCTCCCTGTGGGACTAGTTTCCTTTCTGATCCCTGGAAGAGGCTGACTAGGGCGGTAGCCAGGTGCCTGTGTCAGGTGGCAGTCACAGTTGCTCAGCTGTACTGCCGTTGTGTGACTTCCTGCACACCAGGCATTTGCAGGATGTGTGCTTACAACTGTGAGAGATCAACAGGCCACCAAGAGAGGCCAGCCAGGTGGACGGGAGCTGCTCACATGGTGGGGCAGCACGGTCCTCTTTCTTCCAGTGCCCCAACACCTATTTAATTCTCTCAGTTTATGTACTTTATCTGCTGAGGAACCAGGGAAGGCATAATGTGCCCATAAGGAGACCGTATGACTCACTGCCCCTCAGAGGTTCTGTCCAGCTCTTTCCAGCCTCTCCCATCTCCTCCTTGCAGATCCCAACTCAGGAGCAATGGCTGTGCTGAGGCCCATGGACCAGTGTGCTGGGTGTCAGGAAGGTCAGGGCAAAAGAGCCCTACGTGAGTCACCTCCACTCCGACCCCAGCTGCCAGCCCACTGTCAGGCCCTGTGGCCCCCTCTGCTTATCCCCTCCTTGTGCCAGGAACCTCATTGGCAATGACCTGGGGAAGGACTGGTGCCAGACTACCACGTTCCTACTTTCCTGCAGTGTTGCTCTCTCTGTGGGCAGCCCTCTTCTGAAGGAGAATCCAGGCATCTTCCTCAGCTTTCCACAGCAGGACACTGGCCAAGTGCCTCAACCTCAGGACATCAGTTTATCCACAGAGGAAGAGGGAACGAGAGCCCTGCAGTGTTTAACCACTGCCTCTGGCAGGCAGTAAAACTGAGGGAAAGGCTTCTCTTTGAATTCCACACTGCAGGCCCAGTCCTCATGGTTCCTTGCTTCTCAGGTGGGCTCTGTGCAGACAGCCAGGTGCAGCATTGCCTGCTGAGCTCCAACTCACCCCCCAGGACACAGAAACCTCTTTGGAGACCTCCCCCACTGATATGATATCTCTAACATTCCCAAAGCAGCTGCATCCAGACACAGTAGAAAATATACATTGCTCACTCTCTCCACTACCCTGGGAGGTGGGTTTGAATATTATGTCCAGTAGGCAGATGTGGAAACTGAGGTCCAGAGAGGTACATGTATCCTGACTGGAGCCATTCAGCTAGTGAATGGCTGAACCCCAGAGACCATATCCAGGGAAGGTAAATTTAGTGCCATTCGTGTACCTTGCTGTCCTCCCAGAACCTGTTCTCATCCTTATTATAGAACCCATCACCTTTGAAGATGCTACTAGGTTTTTCTTGAACACCAAAGATGGAGCAGGCACCCAGAGGGAGGTCAGTAATAAGGGTGAAATCCCTGACTCAGGTTAACATCCCTGTGTCCCGAGAGGCAGAAGCTGCATCCACGTGACCTCCTCTGGTGTTTCCACCCTCCTCAGGTCTCTTTGAGATCCCCACCATCACTCCCTGCCACCCAGCCATTTCCTTGGTGACCCAGAGTGGCTCTTCCCTGGTTGTGCAGCCTTCTTGGTGGGCCAGTTTAGAACTTACCTGGACAGGTTGGCTTCCCGAACCACCCATCTCTTTATGGCTCTCTATCAGCTGCTGTCTTTCACACCAACTAAACTGTCACTGCACAGAGCTGGGCTGTTCAAGGAAACAGATAGCAACACAGTTTGGCAGCTGCTCAGCAGGGAGGAGCCAGGAGTAAAGTCAATCTTGAGAGGGAGAAAGTGAGGTGCGGGAGTGTGGGTGTGGGTGGAAATGGGATCAGCATGGGGCTATCTGAGAGGGCAATGGCCACCCCTAGGGCAGTGGCCTCTTTTCTTTCCTCCCTCTGTGCACCACTGAGAAACTGAATCCCATTTGGTCCACGAAGATGAAAAGTGGCATGGCAGTGGGTTTGTAGACTGTACTGCCCAGAAGTGTGCACCAGGCTTCCTAAGCATGCTCCATTCCAGGGTACAGGAAGCCATGAGCTGCAGGGGCAGTGGTGGGGAGGCTGCTTCCATCCTTACACAGAGAGAGACATGGGACTCAGAGAGTGAGAGGGATGTGCAGCTCAAGGTGGCTCAGCTCATGCAGGGCCACTTGAACAATTTGAGAATACTCAGGATGTTAGGAAAATATTTCTTCTTTTTTAGTTTCTATTCTTCATTCAAAAACATGACTAGGGAGAAGAGTTTGTTTTAAAAAAATCTATCATCCTGGATATTTTTACTTCTTAGGTATGGGTGCCCTGAGAGCTTCCACTTTTCTTCTATGAATTTCCTTCTTTCTTCCATCATCTCTCTTTTACATGGCTTTAGGATGGAGGGAGAATTTTCCACACAGCATTCAAGTGACATGGAAGGAGATTGGAAGGAACATTAGCAAAATGCTGCCATTAATCGGCTTTAGCTCATAGGAAGGAAAGCACTGGCTTTAAGAGAAAGAGTAGCATAGGCTGGTGGTGGAAGGGGAGGGGCGCAACAAGCTCACTGAAGTCACTCGGGCTCTGCTGCAGGAAACTGAGAAGGCCACATCACAAGCTAGGGAGGCGCACTCGAGGGTTGCTATGGCCTCAAAGAGCAGGAATTGCTGGCTTTGTCTCCAGTGCACCAGGGCTAGGAAATGGGGCTGAAGTGCAAGTGTTGGGGTCCCCACGGCTCCTCTCTTCTATTAATGCTGATAATAAAATGACACAGGCCTTAAAGAAGAGCTCTTGCTCTCACTTGTGTCCTCATTTGCCCTCCCACCCCGCACCTTTCTCCAAGGCTGATGAAGCTATAAGCCTCTGGCAAAGCACCAGTGCCTTTGCATTGGACTGCTCAGCCTCCAGAACAGCGAGAAATCAACTTCCGTCCAAATTTCCTAGTCTGTGGCATTCTGTGATAGTGCCATAGAAGGACTAAGGCAAGAGTCTATTAAGTAAGAAGGGATAATTTGTCCTGGGAACACATGTCCTTACCTCACTTTCTTCTTGTACTCTGTATAGAGGCACTAGAATTTGCAAAGACCAATTTCTGGCACACTCTCCCAAGTTGGAAGCCATGTGACCCCTCTGCACTCTCCACACTCACTATGTTTTTGGTTCAACCAGAATTTGACTGATTTTAAGGAGCAGAGAACTCAGTTGGAAGAGAAAAGAGGAAAAGGAAGGAAAATACTTTAAAATACTCTGTAACATAGGAACTGGTGAAGATATGTTATCTGCAAGCAATTGCCAAATGTTTGAAATTTGGAACAAACAAAACATGCATCGATTGAGGGTAGGGTGTGCAGCAGTTCATGTCCGGACCAGGCCTGGTGGTGCATGCCTGCATCCCATAGCTCCAGAGGATGAGGGTTTATGAGAGACTCACATAAACCCAAGAGTTTCATACCTGCCTGAGCAACTAGGAGAGACCGTTTATAGAAAACAAGAAAGAAAGACAAAAGGAAAAACAGATACATCTTAGAACTGCGTGGACTGTACAGTGACATATCTTCTCCTCTGTCCCAGCTATTCTGCTCCTGACTATGAACCTGAGAAAGGAAAATACAGAACTGTGCACAAGGGCTGTAGCATCACAGCCCCAAACTGGAAACAACCATGTGTTCACCACAGGAGAAAGGAGACAGAAACTGTGGCTCCCACACGATGGAGCAACTCTCAGCTTCAACAGGAGCTGGGGTGAGGGCAACAGCAGGGATGAGAGTCGCACTTCGGGGAAGAAGCCAGACAGAGGGGAGCAAGTGCTGTGACAACTCCATCTCCATCAAGGCCAACATCAGGTCTGATTTCTGGTTTCCCCTGGATCACTGCTTGGGAGGGATACAAAGGAATCTCATGAAGGCTTCAAATTTTCTGGTCCTGGTTGGAATGGTGTCCCACAGGCTCTTATGTGAGTGAAGCTCAACACAGAAAAACCAGAACTTCTGCATGTTACTCTGAGTAAACAGTATCTCAAAAAAAATTCTGTTGGAGGAAGTTATCTCCCAGATCCCAAGAAATCACAGACCCATCTGAGTTCTGGAAAACCAGGGACTCAGAGAGGCCCTGTGCCTTGGCAGGGAGTCACAGTGAGGCTTCTCCTGGTGAGTAGGGCCCTGGGGGAAGACCAAGGGATTTGGCTCCACACCCTGTGGTGGGCTCTACTGGCAAACCTGGAGGCCAATATGCTTAGAATCACAAATAAAGGTAGAGGTATTCGGAGGCAGAGGGCCAGGCTGCATAGTATTCTGAGCTGGGCCGCATGGTGGTGATCCCTAAGTCCTAGCGAGTCACAATCTACTCCCAGGGACAGCTCTACACTCAGGCAGGACCCTACAATGTTCCTCTTTGGAGCCATTATCAAAACCCCAGGTTCCTGCTTGCTGCTATCTGTCCCCTGCAGTTCAGACTTAGGTTCTTTTCAAAATGTGATTATCACCTCACCACTAGGAGAAACACTACTTCAATAAACAAACAGCCTGGTGCAGTTTCACAAGCTTGTGACCCCAGCTACTCAAGAGACTGAGCCAGGAGGTCCCAAATTCAAGACCAGTCTGGGCAACTTACACATCCTGTCTTAAATAGAGAAAAAAAAATTAAAATGGCTGAAGTTGTAGCTGAGTGATAGGGAGCCCCTCATTCACATCCCCAATATGCCCTCCTAAACATACAAAAGCATGCTAGCCAGTTATAAGATTTGTCCCTAAAAACCTCCTCAAAAAGAGCAGAGGTTCCAATATTGACATTTTAAGAAGTAAAGCATGAAATAACTAGAAGAAAATGTGTTATTCCTAAAAATAAAAATTTGGAAGATGAAAGGTCTTGCTAAGTGGAGCACACAACAGAAAACATACACAGGAAGGACTACCAAATGTTTATATACATATACTTATGTATGTACATATGTAACAAAGAAGTATGAAAATCAGAATGCATATTACTAAGACCAGTTAAGCTGTATACAAAGAGGTCTCACAAATGATCAATAATTAACTATCAAAGATGATGCAAATGCAAATATAGGCAGTTTCTAGCAAAATAAATACAAAGAAATAGCAAACAGAAAGAAACTGCAACCAGACTCACTCATTATCACAGTAATGCAGACTTAAAAGCCATCTATGACAAACCCATGGCCAAAAATCTTCTGAATGGATAAAGAAATCTTTCCCTCTAAAATCAGGAACAACATGAGGATTCCCATTATCACCATGCCTCTTCAGTATAGTTCTTGAAGTGTTAGTGGAGCAATTAGACAAGAGAAGAAATAAAAGGGATATGGATAGGAAAGCAAAAGGCTGAATTACCATTATTGGCAGATGATATGATCCTCTACATACAAGTTCCAGAAAACTCCACCTCTCTGCTAGAAAGAATAACCAAATCCAGTAGCATAGCAGGACACAATGTCAACACTCAGAACTCTAGTTTTCCTTTATACCAACAATAAACTCACTGAGAGAGCAATTAGGGAACCAATACCTTTCATAAAAACATCAATACAATGAAATACTTAGGAATTAATATAGCCAAAGAAGTGAGAGACCTCTCCTCTAAAAGCTGCCATACAAAAGGAGATTCAAGAGGATATCAGAAAACATTCCCTGTTCATAGACAGAACCATACAGCCACTATGACCATACTTCTGAAACTTTTATACAGATTTAATGCAATCCTGATCAAAATACCAATAGCGTTCCTCACAAAGGCTGGGAAAGCAATCCTAAAATTCATGTGGAACCAGAAGAGACCAATAATAGCAAAAGTAATTCTGTACAACAAGGAGATAACACCAAATTATGTTACAAGGCTACCATGGTAAAAAGAGCATGATATTGGGAAAAGAAAGATTTGTGGATCAATAGAACATGACAGAATGTAGAAACAAATCCAAGCACTCAGCTGCTTTATCTTTGACACAGGGGCCAAATCCTTTCACTGGAGGAACAAATGGTGCTGGAATCTGGCGATCTGCATGGTTAAGACTGAGCCTAAAGTCCTATTTTTCACTCTGCATTAAACTGTAACCAAAATGTACCAAAGATCTAAATATTTAATCAGAAACACAATCTGATGGAAGACAAAATAGGTAAAACTTTTGAAGACACAGCATAGGCTGACTTTCTGAGCACAACTTACTTTGCATGAGAAATAATATAAAAATATTAACAAATGTGTCACATTGAATTGAAAAACTTCACAACAAAGGAAACCAACAAAAGCATGAAGAGACAACATACAGAACAGGAAAAAATGTTGCAAGTGACACTTCAGTGAAAGGAATAATATCCAGAATATATAAAGAACTCAAGACTTTAACTCTCCCAAAATGAAAGACCCAGCAAAAACAGCAATTGAAATGAACAAACACTTCTCAAAGGAAGAAGTGGAGAGGCCAATAAACACATAAAATCTTCAACATCGCTGGCCATTCAAGAAATGAAAATCAACATAACACTGAGATTCTATCTTACTCCAGAAAGAATGGCTACCATAAGGAATCAAACAATAGCTAATACTGAAAAGCCTGTAGGAAAACATGAACCCTTCCTCATTGCTGGTGGACGTGTACTTGGGTGCAACTACTATGCAAATCAGTATGAAGATTCCTCAGAAAACTAAAAATATAGCCCCTATTTGACTCAGTTATTCTACTTTTAGTCACCTTCCCA